TTCTGCAGATTTTGAAATAATTTGTCTGCACTTTTCCTGTTTACGTTCGGGTAGGGTATACAATTGTGCAAACAGCACATTTGCAATTAAAGAAAAAAATTAAAAGACCTGAAGTCAAACATTTGGGTTAAGGATTTTTTTAAACATATGTATATTTTCCAGAAGCTTTTGGGAAATTTAGAAAAGAATGAAGAATCAAAGTCTGTTTTTTAACCATCCCTTTTCTATATAAACTTAAACTATATTAAATGGTAAATGTATTGATAAAAGCATCAGTAGCCTTTTTAGCCATTTATCTGATAGGCCACATAGCAATAACCCATTCAGACTAAACCATATTAAAATATTATTAACAAACATTTTTCTTCTGGTAACATAGCACACACAGTCATTGTAATGTTTCCTTATAGTTAAATATGGAAGGATAGGAAATATGTTGCAACGGAAAGGAACCCCCCCCTTTCTTTGACCTGTCAATAAATACACTGAATTTAGTTATCTGGGCAAACTCGAATTTTGTTCCACCAAAGCTTTACTCCAACATCGTGATGTCAGTGGAGTTACACTGGCATGAAATTGGAATAATGTGCTGCAGAAACGGGCTGCTAATACAGAGGCTATTTTTTCAAAGCTAACTTTTTCCTCTCAGACGCATACCACACTTTTAAACAGCTCATTTCCAATCAAGAGAGGGCTTCCAATCAAGGGATGGAAGACCGCCTGAGGGGCTGTCTAAATTATCCTGGGGGCTGTTCCAACCCCTGGAGCAGCCCAGGATCAGGAAGGCAAAAAGGTAGCTTAAAGCCACCTTAACATCACCTCCCCCAGGCTGCAAATTTTCACAAGATGTGAGATGTGAGAATTTCATCCCTGATGTCTACATGCATATTGTGGATTACCATGGATTTGCATGTGCACATATAACCTGTTAATCACTTTTTTATGTCCCTGTCTTGTGAAAATATCTGATTTGTCCAGGTATACAACTGTGTGCACACAATAATTCCTGCATTATTTTTCAAATCTGGTCCTATTACAATATATTTCCAATTTCCAGTTCCTATAGAAATATCATTTTACTCTTATATTATTTTGATACTGGCTTTCTTGCAATGCTTTTTAGATTAATTTTAATTGGCATAAATCAGGAACATCAGATACTGAAAGAAATATTTACAGAAGGTAGAAAAGAAAATGAAGGAACAAAATAAGATCCAGTAGGAAACGTGTGAGCTTGTGAGCTAAAATGCAGTAGGGAAAACAAGTAGAAATAAATACATCAAGTGTTAGGAAGGAATTTGGAGAATAGAATTGGGTGACTGTAACAGGGAACCCTCACCCTGTTACTGGGGAGAGCTACAAGGCTGGCAGAACCCTTTAAGGTTTTTTGTGGCCTGGGGAAGGGTAGGTTGCAGGACTAGGACTAACAAACAGCCCCTGTGCTCAAGCCAGCTAATAGGCCAGGCTGATCAGAAGGGGTAGGGCTCAGGGGTAAACAGGCTTGTCCTCAAGCAGGAGGGGCAGTGGAGTCCTAATCATGGAGCAGGCAGAATGATCTCTGCAAGAGGGAGAGAAGGCCTGAAGGGATACTATAGTAAGTAGCCCTGGAAGGTGAGTAGGTTTTATTGTGGCCTTCCCCTTTTGTTCTGGGGTGGTCAGCAGGTCTGTGGGGTGAAGCCCAGCGTAAAGACTGTGTCCATTACCCCAAAGCAGGGGGAGAACTTCCTTTTGAGATTTTTTTTTTCATTGTGTTTTGTAATGAACACCTGGAGGACCGATAGCAACTGTGAGGGAAGGTAAAGTTTGCTTTGCAGACAACTTAAAGCATACTGTGGGCAAGGGGTAATACATGGAGAGAGAGAGAGGATTTAATGCCTTTTAGGCTGGGGAACCTGGAGAGCCAGAACCCTACTGTGGAGACTAATCTCCAGCTGTGCTGTGGCTAGTGGAGAGTGAGGCTGGACTAAATGGGCCCAGGGTGAAGGGAGCAGGTAAAGCAAATCAGCCCCTGGCCAAGAGTCAGGTCCTGGAAAAGTGTGAAAGGGCCGAAAGGCCAAAGTGGCCAAAAGGAAACCGCAATGTCCTGCCCTTCCGGGCTCCGTACATTTCCCGCTTAATTAATTCCATCAAGATATGGTAGAAGAGACAGAGGGAGGGTGGTAGATCAGAGGAGCTAGAAACAGGGAGGAAGCAGGCTTGCTGGCCAGAGGGGCACACAACTCTCCCCTGCAGGGCTAGGCCTGCCACAGCGAGAGCCATATATGCTACTGAACAAGAAATTGATTCCAAGTTTGCTCGGTGACATGGCAAGAACAACAAAAACCAGGAGGCAAACATTTTTGTGGCTGGTCTCTTTTATTGGACCAACTGTGTATTTGGGATAGACTTAGACAAGCTTCTTTTTGGTATCACAGTACTGCCCTTTGGGTTTTGGGCAGAGAGATAACAAAAAAAATACATTTTAGGGTCAAATACACAGACGCATCACATCAAGGAGCAGAGAAGAAATAATCTCTGGTATGCATACGATTGTAGTATTTAAAACATTAACTTCTTTCAGTTCAGATCTCCTTATTACAAGAGATGTATCTAAAATAGATGGCAATCAAAGAATAGCAATAAATATTACCAGTGGCTGAAGACTGGTGTCACACACTAAAATATAGGGCATACCAGTCAAAGGGCATGGCTGGCTGTTTGGCTGTTTAGTGACCTCTGTTAGCACAACAGTCTTTAGGGAGCTGTTATAAACTAGGTTAACCTAGGGCATTCTATGCCCAGAGCCTACTCAGTCCCATGGAGGCAAGAAGGTGAAACCATATTTTTTCTCTTCTGTACTGTCCTGGCACCTGAGTATTCAACTCTCCAACTTTATTAATACAAGAACAGATGACAAGAGAAAAGGAAAAGCAAACCAAGTGTAATTTAATTGAAGAAAACACAGTTTATCCATGTCTGACAACTGACCAATTTCACAACTTCAGTAGCAGTCAGTCTTTTGAAGTTTCTATTAGTCTGACACTTCCTAGTAGCCTCTTGAACTAAACACCTTTCCAAATAACAGGATAAAATTTAAAGGAGATAACATTTAATTTAAAATGTATACTCTACCCCTTTACTCTACCCCAAATATATCTATAAGTTTCACTGTAGTACTCATGGCCGTGCATAGACAAAACAAGAGCCGTGTTTGCACGACACTTTAAAGCAGGCTAAATGCTTTTGCACTGCTTTAATAGTGTCGGTATTTGCACACCTTGGCAGCGTATTGCACATTAATTCCAGCCGCTGTCGGAAATTCAGTGGCATAATGCAACTTAAATGATTTGGGATGCAGCAAATTAAAACTCCTTTGAGGAATTTTAGTTTGCTGCCTTTACAGCCGCGGAGCAAAGCACTGGGCTCTGTGCAGCTCTATGGCTCTGCAGGAATCCCTGAAGGCAGCCTGACAGCAGCTCAGGAAAGCAGCTCCACCCAAGAAAAGCAGCGCCCCCCCCCGCAGCCCAGGGACCACTCACTCCCCCTCCCCACAAGATAGGCAGGTAAATCAGCAGGGTGTTTGCACAATGCAGGGGTTTAATCAGCCCTAACCTGAAGCAGTGTTTTTTAAAAACCCATTGCTTTAATTTAGGGCCCCTGTTTTGTCTACACATGTCCTATAATCATAACTTAAATTTGCTGAAATGTCACCTCTATCTTTAGGCACAGATGAGCATCTTTGTCCTTACTATGAATTTGTGACTACAATACTTGCCAGAACCTTCTATTGTAGAAGAACTTAAACATATTGTACTGAGATTCCTTAAATCTCTTTGTTGCAAACTAAAATAGAAAATATTAATGTTCAACATGTTGAAGCCAAAATGAGAAGAACTGCTTTAGCTTGAGACAGGAAACCTGATTCCCTTAGAAAATCCAGACCTTTTGTCATCAACACAGGATTTTACTTTCCAGTAGTTGGCACTATAACACTGCTGAAATCCTTCCACTTCTTAAGCTAGTAGTATGGAAATACCAATGTATCCACAACAGCACTAGGGGCAGCAACAGGCTACTCAAACCACTACAAGATTAAACACAATGGACCCAATCTTGCTCACATTGAAAAGAACAGCAAAACACTTTGTAGAAGATCCCATTTGGTCTTGGAGGTGCCTTGAAAGGGAATCTTGGCACTTGAGTTCCAAAAAGTGATCCACTTTGGTCCCATTACATAAGCCACAAAACTACATAGAACCCTATGTTTAGGCAGTGCCTCCGTTTTGGATAGCAAAGTTACCTAGGCACTTCTGCTTCAGCTTTTGTGTGTGCCCAGAAGCAATTCAGTTTGACCACCAAACTGCCTAAGTTCTGTACTTGGTGAGACACTGGGAGGGACTTGATATGAAGCATGCTTAACTTACATAAAACATAGCAATGGCATATTGGCTTAGTTTTTAGAGTATTCCCCCAGGAAACAGGAGACCCAGATTCTAAATTCTCTTGAGACTCTCTCTTGGGAAGTATGAAAAGTAGGAAAGAAGGCACTCAGCCTCAGGCCTCCAACTTCCTCACTGTAACCACATAGTTTTTGGACAAAAGATGCCTAGTCTCAAATACATGAGAAGGCATTCCACAATGAAAGTCAAGGGAGGTGCTAAAAGCCTACCCACTGAAGTGGAACTAGATGTAGTGGACTGGCATCTTTACATGTGTTCCGGGGTGGGTGTGGGTTTAGTTAGAGTGGCTCTTGGGAGTTGCTCTAATAAAGCTCCTGCAGCATCATGTGTATTCAGCGTCCCATGCTTCAAAATGCAACAAGCTTTAGTTAAAGTGCCCCCAGTGTCATTTTGAAGCACAGGGACACTGAATACACGTGATGCAGAGGCTACTGGAGCATGCTAATTACCATGATTAATTGCGTCTGCTCTGATGCGTGTTAATTAGCACACATCAGAGCAGGCAGCTGGAATGTATATAGGTGCCAAAAGTGGTAAATATTCAGTCTGGTCCAAGTCTCCTAAGCTCCAGAAAGGAATGGGAGTTCTGATAATCATCTCTAATTAGCATTTCCAGACCCTGAATATGGAGTTCAAAACTTCTAACATGGTTGGTTTTAGATTTTTCTTCCTTTTATTGTTTTAATGATATGTTAATGCTCTGATTTGTCAAAGTAACAGTAAAAATTGTAATAAATATCAGGTAAGGGATTATTTCAATAGCATGAAAAACTAGTTCAGAAATGACACAGACACTGTAGCTGTCATCAGAAATTTGCATAATAAAAGGCTGTTTAAACTTGACAAGCACATAAACAGAAAAATATATGCTATAAAATTAGTCATTGTAAGCATGAATATTTAAGCTTAGCTGGCAGAGCACCTCTACTTTATCTAACTCGTCCTCAAATATTCACAAGGTGAAACACATGAAGCAACAAAGGATCCTGCAAAATATTTTGTTTATTTACAACACTGATATTGGTCAAATGTATCTTCATCAGCTTATGCCTCTAATATGGTAACATCTTGAACTATTATGTACTTTAATTTAACAAGGTTTTCATTGTATATATACACTAAAGAATAAAATGGAGTAAATTTAATAAAATTAACTCTAGAGAGTAACTTATTAAATCTCAAAAGCTCTTTTATTAGAGAACGACTTTCTTTCAAAGAGTTAAGTGTGTTTTTAACATTATGTACAAGGTGGTATAATTGATTTAGTGAACAGTTTATTTCACAAAAATGTTTAGAGGCAATTGAAACAAAAAAATAAAATGATAAAATGACAAAATATTGGAACTATCATGACAATTCATTTTGAGATTTCCAAAGGAAATATTTGGATTTTTCAGATTAGATTCACAAAAGGACTCTGGCATTATTTGCAAGAGCTCTAAGGGGAAGGTGATATGCTCCATCCCACCGTAGGGCTATAACACTCTATCTGGATGGTAAGGCCCCAGGTTAAAATCTCCCTTTCCTGAAACAGAGAAGGCCCTGAAATTGTAGATCCCATTCAAAAGAGTGCTTTAAAAACTAAGCCATTAGTCTGGGATGCGTCTGTCTCAGACCTCTGTAGGGTAAGTTTACCATACCTGGCAACAGTACTCTCAAGCAAATCAGAGGTAGTGTAGTTCCATCCATGCAGTGCTCCAGGTGGGCTAATTAGCAGTGCTGAGATGCTTCCAGGTAGTCCATCTGCATGCTAATAAGTCTGCTAATGAAGAGCTACACTGCTTCTGTTTAGATTGTAGCCTGCCTAAAGCAGTGCAGTGTGTCAGAGGATGCCACTTCTGAGCAGACTAAACAATGTATAAACAGCCTCTCCTGATGAAGCTACTACACTCTGCAAGTCTAATTAAATATACCTTGGGCCTGAGAATGAGTCATTCTATAGTCTGCTGGTTAGGACACTAACCTGAGAAAGGGAAAATCTAGGGCATCTAGACATGTGATGGAGCTGTGTTCTGAGAGCCGCTCTAATTAAAGCACCTGCAACATCAAGTGTATTCAGCATCCCAGACTTCAGCATATTCAATCATAGCAGACTCGATTAATTGAGTCAGCTCTGATGCGTGCTAATTAGCATGCATTGGAGCAGAGCAGGGCTATGCGTATAGGCATATAGCCCCTCTAATTAAAGCGCCTCCACTCCACCCCACAGCACATGCATAGATGCCCCTAGGTTCTAGTGTCTGGGTGAGATTACATGTTACAATTAGACCATGGTAAGAGCATGTAAAGCTTGAACAATCGCACATTAAGGCTGGTTAACACATGTTAAGTGCCCTCAAGGGGTCTTAAAGTTATGCCCTTTTGGGTGAGGATTATCTTTGAGCTGTGCTATTCTGGTCAAGTAAAGCTGAATTCTGGCTGCTTGCCTGGGATAAAACCACCAATTAGCAGCCCTCCAGTATTCCAGAACGCACTGCTTCCAGTGGACTAGGTATAATCCAGGACTCTATGGCCCTGGATTGACAGCTGGGGACAGTCAGGCAGCAGGTGACTGGGAAGGGAGTGGAAAGGTGTGAAGGGGGGCAAGGGGACCAGGAGGAAGGGGGCAGCAGGTAGGCAGGAAGGTGCTAGACTGCCAGCCTATCTGCACCCCAAATTACCCCCACCCCCTTAACAGCCTCTCTACCTCCTCAGATTTTCCCCCACTCATTCCCTAATTGGCCTTACCAACCCCAGATCACTGCCTTAACATCCTAGCCAGCTCAAGAGTGGCAATGGGGGGGGGGGGAAAGCTCAATTCCTGGACTCCCTGCTTCCACTGCTGCATCTCAGGCTGATTGGGATGGCATGGTGGTGATCCAGGGGTAGCAGGGCCAATCAGGAGCCAATAAAGGGTCCCAATGGGAGCAATCCAAGAGGCACAGGGGCCCCCTTTCCTCTAACCTATACTGTGCCTAGAGAGCCAGTAAGCGGGGCAGGTATGGAACAGACTTGCAGCCCCTAGCCAAGCCTGTGCTCACCAGCCCTCTAGCGGTAGGGCTGTGCATGTTAGAGAGGGTATTAACCATTAATGTGCAACTGATCACTAGCCTGTGTTAAATTTAACACAACTAACGGTCCTTACAATTAGTATTTCATTTAATTAAAAATGACCTAAAATTAAATGAAACATTGAATGTAGTGTTCTGTTCAATCCACCAAAACAGAATAAAAAATTATTTTGGGAAGATATGAAACTTTTTTTTTCTTTCAGCCACTGATTCAAAAAAATAAGTTATTTGCACAGCTTTCGTTCTAATGCAAAACAGTAGGACTAATTCAATAGTGTAAATTTGGAACATATAACTTTTAGAGGATTGAGGCCATAGAGTTATATTAACAATGATTTTTTCTAATAATTTCTCATATTGTTGAATCTGTTACATAGAAATATAACGGCCTGTATTTTTTATAGAATCTACCCAGAAATTAATGAAATTAAAATATTTTGAATTTTTTTAAAGTTCCCCCTAGTCTGAGATAGTATAAAACTGTACATTTCATAATTGCTGTGTTTATAAAAACATAAACATACCCCTAACTTTCCCAGAAGTAGATTCAAAACCTGCCATAAAATATTTTTATCTTTAAGTTTTATTTGCATTAGATAATAGAGGTTCTTTAGAATGAAATAATTAAGCAAAGCCAGTAATGGCAGTTACTAAAAAAGCTAATGTAGCAGTTGTATCCTAAACATATATGCCGTGTCTCCACGAGCATGGACATTTGATTCCCTGGGGACACCTAGCAGCAGCACACCTTGTGCCACTGCTAGCTATAACTGAGGAACACCTGTGCCACATGCTCTCTGGTGTGGTAGGGGAGGCTGGAGCCAACACTATGCTGGCCCCAGCAGCTTTACCTGAGGTCCAGGAGGACTTCTGGGGCTGCAGCAGCAGCAAACCTGCTGCTCAGAGCTTGACCAGCAGCTGGAATATGGCTCCGGCTGGCCAGGCTCTGGTTTCAAGTGGTGTACGCTGTCCCTATGTGTGTTGTTCCACCTTTTTTTTTTGGTCAGGTTTTTTTGACCCCTGGATATCCAAGGGTCAACCCCCCACTCCTCCGCTTCCCAGTGCTCTCTCCTCCAGTCCAGAGAACAGCTGACTGTGTGATATGTGGTGTTGCAGACATGTCTGTGGCACCACATACCACACAGCTGTGTTAGTCTGGATGCGGACATACGTGCTTTTCATTCTTACTGTTACTGCACCTCATCTTTTAAAAGTAAAGTACAATTTTGTGTTTAATTCTTGCAGCTGACTTAATTGGTTTTGTCCTAAAAAAAAGTAATGCACACAAGATACTAAAGAACTGTATCTAAGTGTTTGATTGAAACTGGAACTGCTGCATTTTGGAATTGATTCCACTAATAGTAAGACTTGATCCAAATTCAGTGACACTGTAATTGGATTTAATTTTTAGGATATGTGCTTAATAACGTAGAAAATAACTGTTTTAAATGTTATTTGAGATATATTATATGAACATTAGGGGTACATTGATAAAAGATTTTTTGGGCCAATACTGATGGCCGATTACTACTGAGCCATATTGGCTGATACCTATTTGGTTGCCAATATGCAGCCTGGCAGCTTGGAGAGCAGTGTCCAGCTGGTAAGTCTTTTGGAGTAGAAGGGGTGAGAGGGAAGGAAGGGACATGGGGTGGGGGGGAAGAGCAGATCAAGGTCCCTGCAGGGAGGGAAGGAGTGGGGCTGGGGCAGAGACAGGCACTGCCCAGCCAGGGCAGGGTGCAGGACGGAGCTGTGAGTGGCTCATCCGAGGGGGTGCGGGGAGGGGGGCAGCTCCTGCTACTGAGCACACCCCCAGGGAAGGAATGGGGGGGCACGTGCCTCCCAATTTGTGTGTGGGGTGAGCATGGGCTGCTGTTGAGGGCTGGGGCAGGGAAGTGTGCCAGGTTCTTCCCAGCAGGAGGGGGGCTGGATCAAGGCTGCACTAGGGCCAGGTAGCAGCAGTGGTGCTGGAAGGGGGTAGTAGCTCCCCTCCCAGCACTGCCGCCGCCTGCCCCAACTGCAGCCCTGGCCCAGCCCTCCTCCTGCCAGGAAAAGCCAGGTGCTGCCCCTAGTCCCAGCCCACAGCTGCAGCCTGTCCTTGCCCTGTGCATAGATCAGGGGGCACATGCCCCCAAGCTTCCCCTGGGGAGACATGCCCCCATGCCTCCGCCGCACCTCTCAAATGAGCTGCTCATGGCTCCATTCCATGCCCCACCCTGGCTGGGCAGCACATGCCCCATCTCTTGCTCTACTCCCTCACTCCAGGGGCCTTGATCTGCCCCCAAATCCCCCCCCAGCACCTTCCCACCAACAGACTTACCAGCCGAATGCTACTCTCCAAGCTGCTAGGCTGGCCGTGTGCATGTTGCAGCTGTTTATGCACATGGCATTTTTGATTACATTATTGGCCATATTAGCCAAAAATAGCCAATTGCCAATAATGTCAATTTTCCTTTTATCGGTGCTGATATTATATGCACTAATGTGAACCTCTAGTGAACATATACGCAAGGATGATAACACAGTTCACATGCATACCATTCTTTGTTCAAACCACTTTTATAATTATTGATTTTTTCAAAAAGTACTAAATATTCAT